GCGCTAACTTGGCATGTGTGCAGCAGGGGTATCTAACTGGGGGAAGGACACGGGCATGGGATGATGGTAGTAGTAGTCACTCCACAGGATGGGAAGTAACTGCAACAGAGACACCTGTCTGCCCAGACCTGGCACTCCTGGCTAAGCTGATCATCTTGAATTACAATTATACTCTGGAAGTGGTACCTGGTGTTTATTATTCAAACAGGATTCAAATCAGTGCATCACCAAAATTACAGAGCAATGTCATGGCCTCTAGGGCTATATAATAAGAGCCAAACTAAATCTTAAGTGACAAATTCACTGTTTCTTCTTAATCACCTACTATAATGCCTGGTATATGAATCTGTTTAGTAAATGTTACTACTTTCTGTGGCTATGAATAATGCACACAAAGAATTTACCAAATGAACAAAATGCCTGGTACAAATGTGTTTGGATTAATGATTACAGGTGGAAGGGGGTGGCTGAGGCCAACAGAGTATCACACAAAACTTAAGTTCCATATTGCAAAATTCTGATACATTACCCAATTCCAAATCTTTCTCCAGGTAGCTCTAAGACACACTAGCCTAGCACAGTGCCTAAGGCATGTGACTGCTAATCAGAAAGCTGGAGGTTCAAACCCACCGGTCACTCCTTGGAAGGAAGGCTGGGCAATCTATTTCTGTAGAGAAACTGCCTTGGAAACCCAAGAAGGGATCGCTATTGAGTCAGATCCAACTCAACAGCAGTGAGTTTGACTTTTTTGTAGTTGTTGTTGGTTTTCATACTCTCATTTACCAAAAGTCACTGTGAAGAATATTACAAAAAATAAAAGGTAAATGGTCAAATAAGGCTGAGAAACAAAGGTGTGTTGCTGAAGGGCCTCTTGCCATTTATATGCCAATGTGTGTTGTGAAGCTGTAACATGGATACAGTTATGCAAAGCTTCCCATAGATAACTGATCAGATACACACACGCCCATTTTTTTGATGGAATATCTCTATAGAACTAGTGTTTCAGAGATCACATTTTGATGCTGACTTAAACAAATGAATTCCAGACATTGATTTATTCCAGGAAAACAGGCTTGAAACATGAACCTCCCCCACCTTTCTTTCTGTGTCTATATATAATACACATATGTAATACACTTTAAGAATGCTGCTTCTCCTTTGCAGTCTGAAATTAACTACGTTCAGGAACAGAAACAAAATCATTAAATGTAAATGAACTAAGTGAGTGCAACAGTTTTCCTGTTGAGGCAGGTGCATTTTGTCAGGAATCCAGGATATAAGGCTAGTGGTCATCAGTTCTGCCTTAGTACCAGGTAGGTTCTTCAAGGTCTTGAATTTATTCCATCCATAAAAAGGAAACAGCATCACCTCCAACCTCACCACAAAGGTCTGGAAACTAAATACGCTAATACAAGGCAGTTTCCGGATCACAAACAAGATTCATCCTTGGGTCTTTAAAAATTTGTAGGTCAGTTGGAACATACTGGTATATGAATCTGTTTAGTAAATGTTACTACATTTACTAAACAGATTCATACACCGTAGGTCATATGTGATGAAGAGTTTTTTGTGAATAGGGGGAGCTCTGGTGGCGTAGTGCCTAAGGTATTTGACTGCTAACCAGAAGGCTGGTGGTTCAAACCCACCAGCAACTTCTCAGAAGAAAGACTGGGCAATCTACTTCCATAGAGATATACCACCTCAGAAACCCAAGGAGGGTGGCTATGAGTCTGAACCTACTCAACAAAAGTAAGTTTTTAGTGAGTTTGTCAATCATTTCAAAGTAAGGGAAAATTAACATAACATTAAAGCAGGGCTTTAATGCATTTAATCCATTAAAGCAGAGCACCAAGGAGCTCTGGTGGTACAGGGCTTAAAGTATTTGACTATTAACCAAAAGGTCATGTTCAACCCCACCAGCCAGCTCTGAGAGAGAAAGATGAGGCAGTCTGCCACCATAAAGATTTACAGCCTTGGAAACCCTATGGGACAGTTCTACTCTACCCTACAGGGTCACTATGAGTCAGAATTGACTTGATGGCAATGGGTTGAGTTGAACAGCACTGCCCCACTCAAAGACGGCAGCCAACCACTCTACTTTGAATGTATATGACTTTCCACAGTCCTGCCAATACTCCAATCTCAAGTATCAGGCTCCTGAAAGGGCTCACTATGCCTCTTCCGAGTCTTCAATTCCAAGGCTTCAACCCATAATTCTTCCCATCCCAGTTATCATGACAAACTACTCATTGTACAAATTCAGGTCTGTTCCTGTTTCACTTCATCAGTCATGACAGAATCAGTTTAAAGCCCTGCACTGAAAGGCCAGTAAGAGTTGTCCGTAATTTGAATGTCCATAACGTAGGTATTGCCTGTATAGTGGATCTCAAAATGCAGTACCCCAAAACAAGCAGCATCAGCATTACTTGGGCACTTGTTAACCAGTTACTGTCTAAGTGATGCTGATTCATGGCGAACCTATGTGTGTTCGAGTAGAATTGTGCTCCACAGAGTTTTCAATGGCTACATTTTCAGAAATAGATAGCAAGGCTTTTCTCAGAAGGTGCCGCTGGGTGGACCAGGACCAATTTTTCAGATAGCAGCTAAGCGTTTAACCATGCAGGGACTCCAGGCAATTGTTTAAGTGCAAATTCTAGGCTGCTGGTCACACCAGCTCTCAACAAAGTCAAAATCTCTACTTAGAAAAGAGCAGAAAGAAGCAGTCTTATTGTATACCCATGGAAGTACCATGTGAACAAGGGCACTACCACAAGAGAAGAAACTGACTTCTCTCTTAGGTCAATGCCTTCCACCAGAGAATCAGGCTAACAGATAGTTCTGACCAAATGTATTTATTCCCCTTTAACCAAAAAGAGTACCATGGACTGCTAAAAGAACTAACAGATCTGTCCTGGAGGAAGTGCAGCCAGAACGCTCCTTGGAAGCAAGAATGGCCAGACTTCGTCTCACCTATTTTGGTCATGTTGTAAGAAGGGACCATTCCCTGGAGAAGGATGTCATGCTTGGTAGGGTGGAGGGTCAACAAAAGAGGGGGAGGCCTTCAACGAGATGGATTGATACAGTGGCTGCGATGATAGGATCAAGTATAGCAGGGATTGTGGGGCTGGCGCGGGATCGGGCAGTGTTTCGTTCTGCTGTGCATGGGGTCGCTATGAGTCGGAAACGACTCGACGGCACTTAACAACAACAACAACAACAACCACCAAAAAGACAAAAAGAGTCATAGCTTGCTGTTAAAATCAAACCCATTTGTGATTAAATTTAAAAAAAAAAAAAATTTTTTAAGATATGTTATAAATACACACACACACAATCTCCATCTCTCATTGTTATTTTCATTGTGGGAGAAGACTAGCCATTGTGCATTTTATGTTGCCTAGCAACACCTCAGGCACTTTCTTCAGAGGTGTTCTCAAGAAACTGAATACTAGCACAAAACAAGATGAAGCAATCAAAAGATGACGTTTATAATATGTGCCACATCTCGGCAGAAGATTTAAACGCAGTAAGAAAGCCTCGGTCTGAGGCATGAATCCACTCAAACCCCATGACATGTACCACACCCACAAAAGATCACTAGATGCACATGACTAACAGCAGCATTCACATAGCTCCCAGTACCATCTACAAGGCACATGTGCAGAATTATCTCATTTGACCCCCAAAACAACATGGATAGGAGAACCACTATCTTAGTTCAGGCAAGAAGAAGCTAAATAACTTGCTCAAGGCCACACAGAGCTGTTGAGTACCAAAAGGAAAGTCGAGTCTTCTAATCCTGGACATTTCCCACTATGGTAGAAATGGTCCCATCTTCTGCGTCACCTGCTTCTACAGAACCTAGCAATATGAGATTAGTCCTCCACACCAGAAAATATGGGTATAAAAATGACATCATTAAGCCTTAGTTGTTGTTGTTGTTGTTGTTATGTGTCCTCGAGTCAGACCCACTCATAGCAACCCCTCCTTGGGTTTCCGTGGCAGTACAGAAGTAGATTGCCCAACCTTCCTTCCGAGGAGTCGCCGGTGGATTTGAACCGCCAGCCTTCTGGTTAGCAGTCAAGTGCCTTAGGCACTACACTACCAGAGTTCCCATTAAGCCTTAGAGCAGCTTTAAATCAACTCAATAAACAAATTAGTCTCAAACAATTTCTACGAAGTTATTACTACAGAGCATCCTTGACGTATGTTTCAGGAAATTGCTGTACACTGTGGGAGAAGTAATTCCCTTATAAATAATGGTGATTATTAGTTGGAGTAGGTAAAATCATTTTTCTTCTCTTGTGGGTAGGCTCTGGTTATACAGTCCTAAGAATAACATTTTGCATGTTGGTTATGTAGTCTTAAGAAGCACATTTTGTTTGTTATCTGCAACTGACATATTTACAAAGGATGCAGTGAGTACGTGGAGAACATATTGCACACGGATGGGTTCTAAAGACCAAAGTTAAAGAAATGCCAGAGGAAAACAGTGCTTATACTGACAAGAAAAGTTTTCTACAATCAAGAGCTTATAAACCTCCTGTTCCTAAGCATGGCTTATTTGTGTACCTGATTATAGTTTTTTAAGGCCATAATCAAGTCCCTGAGTGGTATAAATGGCTAATGTGCTTGGCTGCTAACTGAAAGGTTGGGGGCTCAAGTCTACCCAGAGGTGCCTTGGAGAAAAGGCTTGGTGATCTCCTTCCAAAAAATCAGCCATTGACAATCCTATGTAGCATAGTTCTACTCCGACACACGAGGTTACCATGAGTTGCAGTCAACCCAATGGCAATTGATTTTAAAGCCAGAATAACTGCATCCCATTTGCAACACACCACTGCTAAGGGATGCACTTGAACAACAACTTATTAAACATTTCCTGGCAAATGGGGTCTGTCAGCAGTAGAATTATAATAATAGTCTCTAAGGCAAATTAAACAGTACTCTTTACTGAGAGCATCAAAGACATTTTTTAAATGATTCACAAAGCAACATACCCTCCTCTTGTATGCTTCTGACTGTGGCTGGAGATCTTATAAGGAAGTGCTCGTTCACCCAGGTTTTCCAAATTCCTTACTATCGCTCCTCTGTCCATCAGTGCTTCTATTGTCCGTTTCAAAGCAGCAGCAGTCTCTGGCTGTTCATTGTTTTTGTTTTTAAAGAGAAGAGAAGAAAAACATCAGAACCAAGAGAAGCAACAGAACCACTGGTCAGTTCTAATCATAACAGTTCTACTGGTACGGTCTCTGGGTACAAGGAACACAATCTGTCTTTGGCTTACATTTTTTTAAAAAGGAAATTTATCTTAAGAAATATGAGATAACTCACAGATAAGACAGAAAAGCTGAAGAAACAGGCCTCAAAGGGACCTAGGGACCAGGGCAGGTCTAGGGATCTGGTAGGTAGGAACTAATGAGTGGTTTCTTCATAGCACCTCAGCCAGAACGAAATCAGTGCCAAACACTGTTAGTCCTTGTCTCCCATAACTCAGAATTCAAATTTCAGGGAAAGAACATTCCATTAGCAGGACACCTTGATTGATCATCCCAATAAAACTATAGTCAATGGGAAAGGGGGCAATCCCCCAAAGAAAAGTGGGGCAATTATAACCCAAAGAGGGAAAGAATGAGTAAAACACAATTTCTGCACTCATGGAGGTTACAATATAATAAAGGAATTAACACGCACACATATACATAAAATGGCATAGAAAGAAGGCAGACATATAAAGTGACATAAAGACTCAAGGACCCATGGAAGGAAGACGCACGTATATCTGGGAGAAGGGTTTCATTGAGGAAAGCATATTTGAGAGGAAGCCTGAAAAATGTCAAACAGAGAAAGAAACAATGAACCAGGTACTAAGTAAAGGGCAAGAAAGTACGAGCACACTCAGGGAATAGGTAGAAGTCCCACTGGATGAAGTACAGGATAAGGGAGGGTTAAGAAATAAGACTGTAGGTTGGGTACAAGCATATAAAGAATGAATGTGTGTTGTAAAAAAAAAAAAGTTCAAACAGTATAAAATCCCATCATCCAGAGGTAAAAGACTTTAAAAACTGTGGTGAATTTCTTTCTGGATATCTCTTCATGTCTATGCATACACACAGAAAAAATTAAAAGAAGGTACTTTACAAGAGCAAACCTGAAAAGATACAACTAAAGCAATGTTGTAAAAAAAGTGAGGGAGAAATGTGGTAAATGAGGGCCCAAAATATGGGGCCGGGGACAATGGTATTATCATTAACAGTTAAAGGGAAACCTGAAGAAGATGGTTGGGGACAATAAAAGATGAATTTGGGGAGTTCCGGTAAGATGGTGGAATAGGCAGAAACTGTACAGACCCTCTTCAACAAAGAAAAGGGGAACCAATTAACACAGACACAGAAGATAATCCTGGACCCCCGAGCCCTGAAGGGAAGGATACAGACGTGGACTAAACTCCAACTAGCAGAAGAATTTGCATGAAAATACTAAAAAAAGAGACATATGGAGCTGCGGTCTGGCAGCGATCCTGATGGCACAGACAGGTTGGATATTGCTGAGTGGTGACAGGACCTAAGAATTAACCTAAAAATCAGCCCTGCTAGCCAGGGGTTGCACAGAGGACTGCTCTGGTGGATGAGGAATAAAAGGCGAAGCAGCAGCAAATAGGAAGGCGGGCTAAGCTATGGACTTTTGCCTGTCCTGAGGGGTGCTGCCATTTTCAATGTTTACAAGTGGATTGAACATTCTGTATATTTAAAGTGACAGGGTTCTCCCAGATTCCAGGGACTTAAAAACAGGCTCTGCTTGCTGGGAACAACAAAGACATCCTGGACTCTCAACTACTGAAAAGGTGCGACATTTCCCTTGTTATTCTTATATCTCACACCTTCTTGGTGAACAGAGGAAAGGAGGCCATCCCTCACTCCAACCCACCTTGCAGGTTGACAGGAATTCCATCCCCCTCCCTGTGCACAAGGGAGCCTGGGTACCCTGCCCCACCTTGTCCAGATTTTTCTTTTTTTATTTTCTTTTTCTCTGTTTTAAAACCACTACCATTATTATTACTTTTGCCCTTCTTATTATCATTCTTTATTCTTCCCTTCCCCTTCCCAGGTTCTAGTTTTCAGCTTTTTTTCTTTGCCCTGTTCCTGGTTCCAATTTTTTTTTTTTTTTCTTTTCCCTTTCTTGTGGGTAACCCTGCTCCTTGTTTTTCCTTTTGCATTCTTCCCATTTTTGTCTTCATTATTCTCCTTCTCTACTTATGTCTCTTATTGCCCTCTCCCCAGATATTGCACTGTTTTTTGTTTTAGTTTGTTTTAGTTTTTTTTCTCTTTTTTGGTTACTGTTCCTGTGTGATTACATGGTGTGCTTTTTGTCCATTTGCTTTGACTTTTTTTTGGTGGTTATTCAATTGTTACTTTTGTCTAATTGAGTGAGAGACAGCAAGAGTCCCTCTACGACACAACTACACCAGCACCACTGGCAGCTTCACTTACTTAGTCAAAATCACCACCTCATTTTCCACCTACAATAAACAACCACCAAGAAGAGCCTCACTCACCCTTAGCTGCTCTTCACAAACAGTTTAACAGAGATCTAAATACAACAACTGTCACAATGTCTCAGAGACAACAGACCATCACAGTCCACAAAAAGAAGCAAGATAAAGTGGTAAAAACAAGGGAGCAGGATACAGACCCAGAACACATCCCTAAGGAAGAAACAGCACTGGAAATCCCTGATAAGGAATTCAAAAGATTATATTTAGGTATCTTCAAAGGATTGAGAGACAGACCAAAGAAAACACAGGAAAAACCCTAGAAGAATTTTGGAAGAAAATACAAGAACAAAATGATAAAATAAATTAAAAATTATAAATGATTCAAAATCTACAGATAGAAATCCAGAAGAGTAATACTAAATTGTCAGAAGCTGATAATACATTGGAAGGGCAAAGAAGTAGAATTGATGCAATTAATCAGAATTAATCAGATTGAAGAAAAATACCTGAATACTTGTTTGGAAAGGGATCAATCAGAAAAAAGATCAAAACAAAATGAAGAAAGCCTAAGGATCATGTGGGATACCATCAAAAGGAGTAAGCTATGTGTCACTGGAATTCCAGAACAGGAAGAGAAAAATAAAACCACTGAGAAAACTGTCCAAGATTTGTTGGAAGAGAACTTCCCTGATATGATGAAAGATGAGAATATATCCATTCAGGAAATCCAAAAACCCCAAACAGGATAGACCCCAAAAGAAAATCACCAAGGCATATCATCATCAAACTCATCAAAACTAAAGACAAAGACAGAATCCTGAAAGCAGCATGAGAAAAACAAAAAGTTACTGACAAAGAACCACCAGTAAGAATAAGCTCTGATTTCTCAGCAGAAACCATGAAAGCAAGAAGGCAATGGGATGGTACATATAAAACACTGAAAGAAAAAAATTTTCAACCAAGAATTACATACCGGCAAAACTGTCCCTCACATATAATGGTGAAATTAGGAGATTTCCAGATAAGCAGGCGGAAAGTAATTTGTTAAAACCAGACCAACCTTAAAAGAGATACTAAAGAGAGTCCTTTGAGCAGAGAACCAAAAAATAGCAAACAACAACCAACCATTAATACACAAGATGACATAACCCAGAAACCACAGGTATGGACATGTCCAAAGTAAAATAAGCTTACAAGATTCTAAACAGGGAACCAGAAACTTCAATTGGCAAACGAGGACAACTACAAACCAAAAAGAGGGAAAATACTACGTAGTTACAGAACTTCTAAAAGGTGAGGAAGTCAGGAGAGCTGTAAGACAGAATGGACTATTCCACACTCGGGGAGAAAATTATAAATCAACGGGGTAGAACCTCAAAGGAAAATGATAAACCTTCACATCACAATAAATAAGAAGACAAACACAAATATTCAGCAAATACTAAAACAACATCAACAAAGGAAATGATAACAGGATTCATAAACATAATGAGCTCAGCACAGAAAATAATATGGAACAAAGAAACCAGGGACACCATGAAAAAACTCATAATAAAATGACAGCAACCAATT